GATACCCTCCCCCCTCTAGTGTTCTTTTTGCATCTAAAAGCCCTCCTCTGTGCAGCAGGAACGGATAACTCTAGTTTTGCTACTTCTATTTTGACTTTCCAACTGTAAATACAAAAAATTACCGCCTTAAAAAAAAACTCTTGGAAGCAATGCATTTTCACTGTAGGAAATACATAGGTAACACCTAAGAGCACAAGACGAGAAAGTCATCTGTAACCTCGCAATTCAGAGAGCATCGTGGTTAATCTCTCAGTGTTGCCTCCTGATGATCTCTCTTTGACTCTAAACGCAGATATGAGTAACTCAGGCAAAACCTGCACAAATAATTTGTATCTTTCTCTAAATTGAACTGATAATTTTCTCACACCATTAGAAATTATTCAAAAGCATGACACCTAATAACCATATAATATTCCTCCTTATGAACATAGTTCAGGTACTCTGTCCTCGGCTGCTATACATTTTGTTTAAAAATTGTCATTGGAGAGAAGGAAGATAGCTTAGTGGCAGAGTGTCTGCTCAGCATGCATGAGGTCCTGGGTTCAACCCCCAGAACTGCCATTAAAAAAAATTTAAGGAAAATCTGTCACTGGTGTAAACAGCGCTGTGATGTGCATCCCCCTATCAGGGCCTTCTCAGATCCCTGACCGAGTGGTGACCAGAAGGGGAGACACCAGTTACACTGCACGGATGTTTCTAAGCTTCTTGCTCTTGAGGAAGGGAGACTGACATCCTCTCCCACACAACGTCTGGGAGTTGCATCTCTCATCTCCGGGAAGGTTTACCATTAAAGAGCTCTTGGCCAATCTGAGAGGAAGAGATGGCATGCAATTTGTTCACGGAACTGTGTCCCCACACCCACCCCCCAAATCCATATGTTGACGTCCTAAAGCCCCGGTAATTTCCAGTGTGCCTGTGTTTGGAGACAGGGCCTTTAAAGAGGTCATTCAAGGTTAAATGAAGTTATACGGGCGGGGCTCTACTCTAATCCAATACAACTGATGTCCTTGTAAGAAGATGAGGCACCAGGGGCGCCTGTGCAGCAGGGGCAGGCCCCGTGAGGACGCGGCCTGAAGACAGCTGTCTGCAAGCCAGCAGACAGGCCTCGGTGGGGAGAAGGCCCTGCTTGCCCTCACCCTGGTCTTAGACTTCTGGCTTCCAGAACCATAAGAAAATACATTTCTGTAGTTTGAGCTCCCCCATCTGTAGAATTTTGTCAGGGCGGCGCCAGCCGACTCATAGACAACTGCAAACCCGAAGGTGAGCACTGGGTGGTTGGTGTCCGTGCATCTAATTCTCCCACCGCACCCACCCCGAGTCAGGTAAGAACATGGAGAAACTGGCATCACACTCAGCTGTGCTGGACAGACCCATCCCCTGCCCTTCGGGTGGGGATGGAGGAGCCCCCTGCAGGTGACCCACGTCTAGACAGCGTCCCACTCCTGGTGAGGGCGCACCTCCCCTCCCTACCCAGGGACACACTCAGCCACCCTTTGCCGCGGCTGAGGACCCCAAGGGCGTGCAGGCGGCTGCATGCAGGGCGTGTGGGGTTCTCAGAAGTGGCTCCTGGCCACACGGGCAGGCCTCTTCTCACAATCACTGTCTCCCTTTCTTCTCCCCATTCAAGAGGCATGACAGTGCTCTGACAGAAATGAAAAAGATCACTTTCCTCAGTAGACGTTAATCAGAACAGTCCGGAAGAAGCCCTCAGACAAACTCCTATCACATCAGCTCTCCAAGTGCAGAATCTAGCAGTAGTTTTTTAAAAATAATCTCCCTGCTTTTCTAGTGGTAGTGTTTTTAATTTAGGTATGGATGTTGACTTTATTCATGTCTGTAGTTTCATCATTTACTTTTTTGTGTGTGTGTTTAAAAAAATTTTTTTTAATTTCTTTTTTTGGTGGGGGGAAATTAGGTTGATTTATTTATTTACTTAATGGTGGTACTGGGGGAGGAACCCGGACCTCGTGCATGCTAAGCACGTGCTCTACCACCGAGCTATACCCTCCCCTCCTAGGGTCTAGTATTTTTGTGTTATGTGGATGAAAACCCCAAAGGTTTGGTCATAGGAAAACCATATAAACCATTTAGCTCATGTCCTCCTTCTCCATCCCTCTTCCAAAAAAACACAGATGATCGGAGTTTTTTGTAAAAGGGTCATCACAAAGATGAACTCAGCAGAAACTTGAGCAAACACGGCGCAGAGGGGACGTCGTGCACGCATGGGGAGCGCACATCCCACTGATGCCATTCCTCCCAGTGCCAGGTGCTTCCTGCGGGCTCTCGCACTGTGAGCCGAAAGGCAGGGCCTCCGCACCTAAGCCCCAAGTTCCCTCTTTACAGTGCATCCCACTTCCGGTGGGCAATGATAAGCCTTCCCCAAGAAAGATGCCGGCGGAGACACTGCCCCCCGCCGGGCACAGGGGAGACCTACCCAGATGAGGAGCTGGGCCAGGACCACATTCCCCTTCCGGCAGGCCAGGTGCAGCGCTGTGCGGCCGTCCCCCTCCCCGCATGTCTCGTTCACCTCGTCCCGGGAGCCGTGTGCCAGCAGCAAGATGACCGTCCGCAGGTCCTCGTCGGCAGTGGCCCGCAGCAGGTGCTGGCCCAGGGACAGCTCCGTGCAGGGCAGCGGGGCCAGGAAGAGCTTCTGCTCGTACTTGGCTCGGATCCACCGCTCTTTCTCCTCCCTGCAAAAATCACCAGAGAGGTGAGGTCACTATCCATCGGGCAGGAGATCCGAGGCTGCACCTCTGAGCCCTGCCATCACCCTGTGCAGTGTGTGGTCAGGAGACGTCGAGGAGAGAAGTGAAACAGCAGGAGACAGTGTCTTCTCCCTGTGCCAGGAAGCCCCTGGGACAGGTTTCCCTCCAGTTAACAAAGTGGGTCCCCACCTGGAGCACCATCAGGGAACCTGTTAGAGATGCAGGGTCCCAGGCCCTGTGCTCCCCCCCACCCACCAAATCAGAACCCCTGGGGATGTTTTAACCAGCCCTGCAGGGGGTTCTGATGTTCTCAGGTGTGAGGACCAGGGACTGTCCCTGAGCTCTCACGTGATCTGCTTTTGGTGTAGAAGTGGAGGTCTGGGAAGAATCACCCAGCAGCTGGGGGTCCCATGCAGCGCGGGAAAGATGCCACGGGGGCCTGGAGGCCAGCTCTACTGTGAGCAGCCACAGCTGAGAGCCAGGATCAGTGGTCACTTGGCTGGAGTCCAGGGGGCAGGTAGCTGGCTGGCTTCCCCACCTGGTGTGACCTGGAAATCTTAGCTTTGAACTCATCCACCCGGGAGGGGGTGTGTCAGAATTCCAGGGTCTCCAAACACTCCCGTGGAAGCAAATGTTTGCTAGATACCACATATAAAAAGGGCAGAGGCTCCAATGGGGAGCTTGGAAAACAGAGACAAGCGAAGCTCGAAGCTCGTGGCCCCACTGGATTTGGGGCTCTCTCTCTGGGGAAGGCTCAGTGGGGAACAACTCCTTCAGGACAAAGAGCAGCTGGGTATCTGGAGGAAAGTGTGCACGGCCCAGCCTAGGAGGCCAGAGCTGAGTCGGGTGCAGAGGGGAGGAGGACGTTGGGAGGGAGGGCATGGGGCGGCCTCGGGGTGCAGGGAGCTGGTGCCCCTCCTCCAACAGCACAACCCAAGTGGCGTGGGGGTGATGACAGGCCCCCCTCTCTGGGCCCCAAAGAGGACAGGACGCTCCCTCAGCATCTGGAAGGAGGGCTGGGGAGCTGAAGAAAGAGAGGAAAAGAAACGACAGCAAGGCATGTTTACTTGGACTGGAAGAAAAGGGCCCTTACAGCCGTTTGCTCCTGCACTCCGGCTGCTGATGGTGGATTTGGGTTTTGGCTCCTCAAAAAGGGGTGACAACAACTGAAAACAACTCAGTAATCCTCAAGACTGCAGCGCTGCTGGTGGGGGGAGGGCCTCAAAATGCAAAAGACCAGAGTGAGATTTCACAAGTAGCTCCTGAGGTGGGAGAGTCGGGGACCAGAGTGAGGCCGGGGGTGGGCAGCGGGGTACCTTGGCCGGACAGATGCTTTGTGATGAGGGTGATGAAAGACGAAACAGAAGCCCTACAGATAAGAGGTGGCTGTAATTACCCACCAAGACACACACAGACTCTGATGCACAGCTTCCTTCTCCCAGAACCCAGTGTCTCTCCGGGGGCGGTGCGCGGGGCGCACAGCTACAAAGCACAGAGAAACCACCTCGGGCCTCCGCCGGGCCGGAGAAAGACAGCTCGTCACCCGTGACATTCTTCCTTCCGAAGGACAGAAAGAGGCCCTGTTTACACCTTCTACCCGTGTTGACATTGCTCCTAGTGATCTAGTGTCGGGTTAGCCCTAATCTCTTCTTAAATACTTAGGCAAACAAATTCTTCCAGGAGTAAATCTGGATTAGTTTTGCTTCACTTCCTGGTCCATGCGAGTGACCCCACAGCGACCCTCGACCCTTTTCATTCAGAGATTTCCAGGACGAACACGTGGCCGCCGCAGCAGAGAACTCACACTACTAGCACCCGCAAACGCCGGCCTGCACCCCATCCCTACCTGCTTGGGCCAAAATACAAGCACAAAAGTGCTAGCAAGGCCTGGGAAATACTGGCTGAGGCTAAAGACAAAAAAAAAAGAAAAGAAAAAGAAAAAATACCCCCCCCCAAAAACCCAACTGAAAAAAACAACCCAGACAGGTCGTGTTTTTCATGTCATTTAAAAACCTTATTTAAGTTATGTATTAAACACACACTGAAGCATTTCCTAAAACATCAGAGACAAAGAGCAAAATGTGAATTGAATAAAAAGGGCCAGCAGTTGTGGGGGAGGCAGGATATGTCCAGATTTTCAAGTTCCAATCGGCTAATTCTCGTTTTTGGGTAGACATTCAAATCGGACCGCTTTTATTCTGCTCCAGCTGATTTCAATACTCATTGCCAAACCATCCAGGGATAAACCAGAGGACAGAACATAGTAACTACCATCCTGACTGCAGTTATCCCGTCTTCTTCTCCATGTGCCTGTGCCCCAGCCAGAGAACGAGGTCAAACCCACGGCTTCGGGCCCCTCTGTCGTGATCTCACGGGCGCCCCCCACACAAGCTCACCTGAACGCACTGACTTCGACACGTGTCTGAATGAGTGTGCCTGAGCTGTTCTTTGCTTTTAAAAGTCGGTGTTGTTCACAACACATCATAAAGGCAGGTCCAGGTGTTGTGGGGCTGAAAATATTACAGAACCTGGGTTCTTGGCCTCCTTAATCAATAGAAATTGGTAAGAGGCCAGACGAGAAATTCAGGGACTCGTGCTGCAGCACCGGGGAGTGAGGACAAGCAACAGGTGCCCTTGCTGGCCCCTTAAACGGGCGATAGTGGGGTGGATCGGTGGGCGGGGTGGGAGGGGTGGCTTACGTGGGCTGCCCGCGCCCTTGGTGGGGCTGTGTGCAGGGGTCGTGCCCAGTGCCTGCTTTTGCTCCTGACACCTCAGAAGTAGCAGTTGGATTTTTGGGCTTTTTGTATCTTTGTTGTTCATAATTTGCCCCAACTGCGTATATATATGGTTATTTTTAGTTCCTTATAGCTTCTCTGTGTTCTGTTGCTCCAGGAGGAGACATTTGTCATGTGCACACATTGCAGCACAGGGTCCCAGGTCCCAGCCTGTCTCAAAAACACATACGTTTTGGGAAGCCTTCTGTAAGAGGACGACTCTGAGGTTACGTGTGTGGAATCAGGAACAGGAAGAATGAGCATCCGCCCAAGAGAAGGGCCAGGCCTCCCGAGACTGGAGCAGGGTGATGGCTACTGGCAAGGGCTTTGGGACCTCCAACAACTCAAACACAGAAAGCAAGCTTGATGTTGAGAACTGTCCCCAAGGAACACTGCAAGGAGATCAAACCAGTGGCAGCCTCTCGGTGGCATGCCTCTCCTAGCCGCACGTCCACACGGCCCCTCACCTCCACCAAGGACGCCCCCAGATCTGTTCAATGTGTGCCTTTTATTACCTGATGGAACCACGGCGCTTCACCAAAACTTCTCGTCCTATTTAAAAATAAGCTTTTGGTGGCCCCTGGGTCCTGCAGGATGGGGACGTTTCAGTGTTTTTTCAGACACTTGGAGTCCAGAAAGCTATGGGAGACAAGCCGCTGGACTGTGAATACGGGTCAGGCGTGCTTCTGCTCAGCAGCTGAAACCCAACTAGAAAGAACAGAGGACTCAGACCTGAACCTTTGTGTTTTGTGGGCGCTGATTCAGCAAGCCCTGTGCACACATCCGCACTTACTATTAGTTAGGGTCCACGTCGTATGGTCGTTGCTCATGCTGACAAACCAGGGGGAGAGCTTAACTGTGTGTGCCTCCTACAGTGGCCGGGCGGGGAAAGGGAACAGCCGCTGGGCGAGACGGCCACAGCTTTTGTCATGAGACTGGGGTTGATGGGCCGGCTCTGTTCTTCTCTGCGGTGCAGACTTTTGCAACTTCAGTAACTCCTTGGGTCCTCCTTTCCTCATCTGTAAAGTGGGCACAGTGACATCGACAGCCCACAAGATGGTTTTGGGATCTGAGGTCACGTGTTTGGATGACATGCTGGTTGGCCACCGCGGTCACTGGGCAAATGGCACCTGGGGGTGTTGTGAAAATAACATCTAATGATTTGTGTTGCTGTGGTGCACACAGGAGCTCGCCGTGGGGGCGGCGTGGGTGACAAACAGGTGTTGGTGGCACAGGGGTGGGGCCTGAGACGCCCACTGGATGCTTTAGGTGGTCTGCAGATACGAGCTTCACGTGATCAATGTGCTTGGCGGGGCGAGGTGCGGCCCCCTGGCCAGGGGCCTGGACAAACCCACAGTTGTCGCGGGGGCCTCCTCCTTCCAAGCCTGAGACACTGGGGCGAGCAGGGCTCAGCGAATTTAAATGACCCCACAGCTGCCAGGGCCTCTGGGGCCAAGTCTGGCTGGCCTCAGCCCACGGCCTCGAGATGTCTACAGTCCTCTAGGATGGTAGGGACTGAATTATGTGCCCCCCAAATTCATGTGTTGAAGCCCTGAGCCCCCCAGTGTGACTGTATTTGGAGCGATTAGGAAGCAATTAAGGTTAAATGAGATCATGAAGGTGGAAGTGGTCGGTTTAGGAAGAGGAAGAGACAGCAGGGAGCGCTCTGTCTGCCAGCACAGAGGAAAAGGCCACACGGGGACACAGCCAGGAGGCACCGCATGCGAGCCGGGAAGCGGCCTCAGCGGAAACTAACCCTGCCGACACCCTGGCCTTGGACTGCCGGCCTCCAGAACTGTAATGAATTTCAGCTATTTACCCCCCCCTTCTGTGTGCACGGCAGCCCGGCGGGACGAACACACTTGGTCCATCGTTTTCACTTGCTGGCGCCAGTCGTCACCACGTGAAAGATGGATACTCTGACAATGATCCCTTTTCTGCAAGAATATTCTGTCTGAAACCATTTGCCCCAAGAAACCACGACGCCAAGAGCACAAGTCCCCTAAGCATGGCTCTGGTGTCCCAGTCTCGCTCCTGGGGCCCCCGGCGTGCCTCGGCCCAGCCTCCCCTTCTCCCCAAGGAAGGCCGGCTCGGGAGCAGCGCAGCAGGCAGTAGATCACCTCACCTCGCTCCAGGCCCCTGGAGGCCCGCTGCTCACAGCCTCCCTTAGCTAATGAGCTAAAAAATGAATTATGGGCACGGCCGGCCGTC